TAGTAGTTGAGGGATCAGTAATTTATCTACAGGGAACTCCTACACAAATTAGATCCAGACCTCCCCAGTGCCTGCCTTCCCTACTCCTCAGGACACTAAAGGCACCTGGATGACAAAAATCCCACCCTTCCTTCTCCACCCCAGTCCCTATCCATATATTCTCCCCTCCCCTAAGGTGCTGTGCAAGCTGAGAGCAGTTTGCTCTCTGCAGCTGGAACATATACTGTTTTGGCTACAGGGATCCTGTGTGTAACTAGGAAGGTTGTAGGGGACAGCCTTATTTTAATACTTCAGGTTTGCCATGAGTATAGTCTCTTCCCCAACACAATCTGGATTCTCTTGAATGCGATAAGAGTATCAAGCAAGTGAGGGATCAACCCTGCCGACAGCAATACCAGCAATACACTAACCACTCACAGCTCACAACTACGTGCAAACTCCCTGTCCAGGGGGTGAGTGTAAAACCACTGTGTCATCAGCTCTCTCTAAAGAACCTCAGTCCCCATGACAGTCATAAAGACAGAAATAAATGCAAGTTTGACAATAGGTAAAGGCACATGGGCTGCTGCCATACACGCTACAGACAGGAACCCAACTTGAGGCCATCTTCACTGCTGGGCGTTTGCAGTGGAATGGCTTTGGGATCACACAGACTTTGAGTCTGCAGTCTACTTGGGGAGGATGGAGGCTTAAATGGAGAACTAATAAAGAAACTTTTAGTGTGAAAAGTGCATTTATTACTACTATTCCTGCTGGGGAGGCTCAGCAGGGCAAACTGCACCACCTCTCCTCCTTCCGCCCAGGCACTGTGCATAGTCTGCAAGGAAGGAGAGTGTGCAGTTGACGGTAGCATCTCAAGGGCCTGTGGCATCCTCAGCACAGACCAGGCTTCTGGTCCAAAGATGGATCCTAAATTTGAAAGAGCAACTGACAGCTGCAAAGACCGAGATGCTTGTTTAATTATTGCATAATGCAGGAGACCATCCTTACCCCAGGCAAGCTAGAGCCTGAAGGTTTCCCAGCAAAGGGCTAGTAGATTCCTGACCAACATCCAACTCAGTTTGATTCAGCTCTTCAATTGTAGTGTAGCTTTTTCCCCATCTGTAAAGTTTCACAGCTTCAGCGTGGCTTAGATGAAAACTTGGCCTCTTCCCCTATTTACCTTGCTTCTGAGACTGTGCCCTATCTCCTGTGGCAAATTCAATGTATTAGGTTATCTTTACTCCAGTGGACTAAGGCCCTTTCCCAGTCAACCCATGTCTGTCCTTCATCTCCAGTGTGATCATACAACCCTTTTCAATGTGCCTGCCTACTGCAGGCTAAATCACACTACCACCGTGTGCTTCTCTTATGATGCCCACTGGTTTAAAAAAATAAAACCAAAACCCACTTAAAGCACTATGCTAGCCAAATTTCAAACCTTTCAACCCTAGAATCCACCTAAATGGATTCTGGCACAGGCCCTAACCTGGTTCTCCTTTTATTTTTAAAAACAGGACACAAGATACCAAAAAAGAAAAAAAGTTAATACAAAACCAGATAATACCATATTAGGGCCTGCATATATCTCCCTCAAGATGGGTTATCTGGAGCCGAAGGATGCCTGACATGCATCAAAGCCACATATCCCTTTGGATTCACCATCCCACCAGTAACATTTCACACCATCCCTCTTTGATACGACTTTGCTAAAAACAGTAACACCGAACACAGGTAAGAATGGGCAGAATGCCTAGACTTTATCTACATGGTCCAAGACCTGCAGGACAGGGAGCTTGTTAAGGGCAACAGGCAGGAAGCGAGCGGTCAGCAGCAATGGCAAAGCAGCACAGACCAAAGTCCTTGGGGTTATGACCAACTGGGACTAAGAATGCAGAAGGGTCAGTCCAGGTCTGTTAGGGCCTCTTGCCTTCCACCTCCCTCCCTCCCCCTGGCACACTAATCTTGACAGGAACAGTTATTTAAGACATGAATGTGTTATCTCCTCTTTAACTAGTTCTCCCTTCCCCTAGACTGGCATATGCAGTTGTGCACAGTGCTAGACTCTGGAGTCCTTTCTAGCCATGCGTGCTGGAAGTACCTACAAGGGACTGACTGGCCTCCTCCTTCAACTGCCCATTCCTAAAAAGATGACAACTTCCCACTAAAATGCTTAATCTGTCAGCGCCACGCAAGGCTCTTGCAAACTTAAGAAATTCCTAGAAGTAATGATGGACATATCACAGGTTACATTTAGGTCTTGTGCCTGGAAGAAAAGACTGAACCAGGGGTGGGGGTGGGGGGAAGGCAAGAGAACGCCACAGCACTGACCAGTATTTAAAGCACAGTTTCTTTTCCTGGGAGACCATACTTCATGACAAGACACCTCTGCAGCTCAGCAAAATCAAGTATTAATATATTACATATACATGGCACGGAGCTGCTGGTATTGCTTCACCAGGAAGAGACAGAAGAGGAACAGCAGCAGAAAGGTCAGGGCCAAACATGCCAAGGTCCACAAGGACTTCTCTTTCCAGGATCAAGTGGCAGTTAGCAGGCTGGAAGTCACATCGAACTCAAGCCGATGATTTTTTTTTCATTCTAACCACTTGGCCTGTATCTAGCTAGATGCAGGTTTGCTTCCACAGCTCCCATATGCGGATGCTCAGCCAGGGGGCCTTGGTGGACATTTCTTGAGTGTCTACTGTGTACATGTCACTAGATTCAGTTGATGGGCCTTCTGACGAGGAAGGCGGCTTCTGAGAAACCCACGCAAACACTAATTCCTAAGAATGAGTTGCTTTCTCAAGGCTGTCATCTGAGATTCTTCAAGACAATCCCACAAGGCCTCCATTGTAGGAAATAACCAGGGAAAGCAGCATTCAGAGCAAATGGGGAAGAGAAGGAAAAGGACATGATCCCAAATGCAGTATAAGGTTGAGTGTTTACCAGACGGGGTTGGTGTGTGTTTGGTTCTGATGGAACCGGAGCCGTAAGAACTCACGGCCAGGTCGGCAGCTTCTTTGGATGAATCTCCAGGAGCTAGCCAACCAGATAACTGCTCTCAAGGAATGAAACATCGGAGTGTAGGGCTTGTAGCAAATGAGCCCATTCAGTCACTCTGTTCCCCCAGGAGAACAACCTTTAGCACCTGAACACTAAGAATGACTCCATTCTCAGAACTCCTCCTTCCCCCAGGAGGTAGGTAAGAGTATTCATCCCCATTTGGCAGATGGGGAGGAAGTGAAAGAGGAGAGGTCACAACACTTGTCTAAAGTTATTGACAGAGAAGAGATCAGACCCCAGAGGCTTGGGACTCCTGATTACAGTTTAGGCCTTGGCCAGTTCAAATACATTTATAAAGGGAATACCAGGATCCAGTTCCTGGGAGAAGCCTAACCAAAGAGCTGGGCGAACAATACCCTGAGTTGCCTTCAAGAGTCTAAAGACCCACGGAAAAAAAAAACCACCAAAAAAAACACCAACCACTCACCCACCTGAAAGATGTTAGGGGAGCCTAAATCCCAATACCCAGTGGAATCCCACAGTCTGAGCTGATGCTAAAAGTTGTGAAGAAAATGTGGGCTTAAAAAACAGGAGAGCAGATCCAACTAAGACCAAAACTACTACTCACAGAGGGATAGTCTACCACAAAATGAAGTCTAAGGGGCTTCAGGCATTGAAATGTTATCAAAGACTATTCAAGAACCTAGGAGCTGGCAGTGAGAGGCAATGGCCTGGAGAAGCCTGAATGCTGAGAGAGGCAGCGGAATAAGATCGCGGTAGGGGTTTGTATTCAGAACACCAGCATAGGCATGGCCCAGGCTCCCTTCTTACTTCTCCACCAAGCCGCTCAGGAGCAGAAGAGGAGGGGACATGATTCTGAGTGTTTAAAAATAGAGACTATTGATGAAGGGGAAACCAGAGAGACCTCTCTACACATCAAACTAGAGATCCTGGTCAGAGTGGACAAACCTTTAAGTTAGCAGTAGGGAAAGGGCAGTGCAGCTACAAATTGGGCCCAGGTCATGACACCATGCAGGGAGGTTAGGGCAGCACACAGAGGGGGCAGCGCAGGCACTTAGGCACAACAGAGAAGGATAAAGGAGGGGTGCAGGTGCCTGGGAAAAGAGTCTACTGGTTCTTTCAAGAGTCACCATCTCCACTAGCAAACTTCAAAGCTCATCAGGCAAGTCAAGCAGGAGGAGCTCTGTTAGGTTAGCTACCTTCCCAGAGGCCTTGCCTCTGCCATGGGCCTGGCCATCAGGTCTCTCTCACAAAGCTCCCCAGAAGGGTTCCCAGCAAGGTGAGACTTCATTCTGAATGCTGAAGGGGCTTGGCTCTCCCCTGAGCCCCCAGATGCCAGAAGCTTCGTGGAGGAATGGTGAGGAGAGATAGGGAAGGGCTAAAGCAGAGGATCAAGCAGAGTCTTGTAGAGCAGAGTGCTCCTTGCCCACAAACCCAGCCACAGACATCTGTAACAAAATCACCCTTTAAAGTGCACATCTCTCAAAAGAAGGGTTCTGGGTGGGGAACCCCCCCCCATTTCCAACTGTGGGGCCTCCCGTCCTCCCCACCACAAAAAAGAAAGGGGGAAAAAAACCAACTTCAGACAGTTTAACTGCTACTATAAGCTGTGGATCATCATTTTTGGCTCTTTCTTTGCTCCCTTCCTTCGTCACCTGCTCCCAAAGAGTGGCCTTTCCCCTTGCAGGAGCTAGGGCTTAGGAGGAAAGAACAAGGAGGCCCTGATATTTGGAATGTTTCTTATCCTATGCACTCCCTTCCTTCCTTGGCCCAGGCCTCCTGATCCCCATCTGGGCACCCTCGGGACTGTCCTGAAAGGATGCCGTAGGGTAATGAGCAGTAGACCCTGCCTAGGGAGGCTGCTTTCATTCCTCCCCTCCTTCCCTACCTCACTATTAAAAGAGCCATTCCCTGCTCGGAGTGTGCAAATCCTGTCTGCTCCCAGTGAGGCTGAGCTCTAGGGAAAAGCCCCAGTCCTGGTCTGGGCGAGAGGTTCACTTTCCGGCATTGGAACGCCCTTCAATAGACAGTTTTACCTCCTGTGGAATGAAAGAGGGACGGAGCAGGGTGGCCCGTGCCTCCTCCCCTTGCACGCTGTATCTTTGGAAGCTTGGAGCTGGCCAGCAGGCCTGAGCACTCGGCTCAGGCTGGCTGGGCTCTACCGTACGTGATCCCTCTCCTGACATCTGGCTCTTCCCCTCACTGTCACATAGCTCTCTGGGTCCCACCACTGTCCTCTCAGGCCTTTCTCGGGGGGCACCCAGCTGGCCTGCGGGAGCACAGCTGGCCTGAGAAACTGAGTTGCTGTTCAAGCTCTGTAAACTGATAGAGATGCAGACATCTCCCACCTGGAGCCGATGGCAGGGCAGAGAGAAGAGCTGTGCAGTCCGCCCAGGGCTGCAGGAGGACCAGCCCTGGCCATAGACGAAGAAGGGATGTTCGGGGGGCACCTCGATGCTCACTTTGCTCTGTTGTTCTCCAACCACAAAATGCAGCATGACAAATCCAGGCCACTGGCTCTCCTGAATGTCCACGACTGTGCTCGAGTCAATCTTCAGCCCCCCACTCACTTCGGCACTGCGCACAAAATCCTGGGTCTGGAGGTCCTCCACTCGCTTCAGCTCCCCAGTGGCCAGCTGGATGATGGCGCCTTTCATGAAATGGGAGGGCAAGTGGGAGGAGGTAATGGGGGGTGGTGTTGGCTCCTTGTCTGGGAAGGTGGCTCTAGCCTGCATGTCCAGACTTGATGCCACCAGGATCTCTGAGCCCATGGGCAGCAGGCCTGGGTCCGTTCCAGTGGGCACCAGGTTGCCATTGGCTACAACCATTGCTTTGGGTAAAGGTCTATGTTTCACCAGTTCCGGATGGGACTGAGAGTAGAAGCCACGGGCTTGATGTTTCTCTGCCATCTCTGCTGGGTTCTTGGCTGCCCCTCGCCCCTCACCCTGATGGTCGGTGGTATGATGTGACAGGTTGAGGGGGCTGGGTTCATCCTTCCTCTGAGCTGCCACCATATGATAGTCCTGAGAAGCTAAAGCGCCAACCACTCGCTGGACCTCAAGGTCTGTGTCTGGAGTTCCCCGGTGTGCTGGCACCATTACCTCCACCCGTGGAGTCTGAGAACCTGAAAACAACTGTCCATCCACCACACATTCCACCACTGGCACCAGTCCTTGACCTTCACCTTTGTTGCTGGGGGAGTCAAGGACTTCACTTTCCCGTCGTACTAAATTTCGCTCTCGTTGTCTCTGTCCTCCATTTGCAGCAGCTGCTTCCAGAGCAGACTGGCCCTCCTGAGGAGTAAGAACTGGGCTGGCACCTGCCGGAGGGGTTTCATGCAAGGTATACCCAGCAGGCAGCCTGGACATCTGATAATAAATGGGCATGCGGCCTGCAGCAAGGTCCAGTGGCTGAGTACTCGAGTGATGTGGCAACTGGCCAGGTGGGGAGGCAGCTGAGGGGGCTTTATTGAATGAGTGGGCTGGGGATGAAGCCTGGGGAGGAGGAGTGGCTCCTTCTGCCAGGAGTGAGGCATATGGCACAAAGTGAGGAAGGTGAGAGGTGGTGAGGTTGGCAGAAGGAGAAAGAAGGTGACTTGGTAGGAAGTTAGGTGGCACAGCATAGGGAAGGCTATAGGGAGACCCGATAAACTGCAAAGAGGTGGATGGGAGCTGAGCATAGTGGATTGGGGGATAGTGGATTCCTGGATGCTGAATCAGTGAAGACGCTACATTAAATGTGGGAGGCAAGGGGCTCATGTTCACCACCGATGGGAGGCCAGTTGGTGAGAAGGTGGCAGGTGGCATAGCCACCTTATACAGCATGCCATACTGGTCCACTGTCAGACCAGTGATGGCCTCAGCTCCATCACCCGCCAGGCTGACTCTGGCTCCTGCCGGGCTCTGCCCAGCCACTACAACCCCCCGGGACCATTCAGGGGCATCACTGGAGGGTGTATGGTTAGTTGAGCAGCTGGTAGTTCTCCCCATATCCTCGCTGGTCACGGGGAGGTCTCGTTTCTTTGGTGGAAGGCATTCCTGACTCCTCTCATGAACAGGTTTCATATTGCTTTGTGGTATTCCTAGAGTCAGGAAGGGGTCGGCTTGCTCCTTGAGGCATCAGAAGGGGCTTCTCTGTGGCTTCCCTGCACCCCTTGCTGCTGTTGGCCGGGGTGCCCACATCTGCTAGGGAACAAATCAGAGTCAAAAAGAACACAAAGTAACCTAGGGGTGAACAAGAATATGGGGAATTGTGCCCACAGAGGAAGATGTAACAAAAGGGACAGTGGGGAAAGGGGATAGACAAGGATGATTCCCCTACTCATCCAGCCTAGGACATGAAAGAGACAGTCAAAGAAGCCACAAAGCATCAAGGGGTATAAAGACAAGCACTGGATGATGTATAAATAACCTGTGGGCTGCACAACCAGAGAGACCAACAGCTTCATGATTAGTCATGCCTCTAAGAAGGACCATGACTCCTGTCCGCCTTCTCCCTCAAGGGTGATCTGAACACATGGTCTTTGCTGCTGGCTCTTTTTCTGAAGTTTCTCTTCTTTTTGTTACCAAAGACTAACGTGCCATCATCTTCCCTGAATGTATGACCTCATCCTTGCTTCCTTTCCCCAGCCTAATTTGGATCATGATCTCACCTATTCCTCTCCACCAACCCCTGCCCCCAACAAGCTCTGCTCAATCCTCTTCCTCCTTTGCCCCTTATCACTACTCCCTCAAGGAATAACTCAAGTATTAGTAAGGGTTACAGGTCTCTGCTTGAGTCTTTTAAAATGTTATAAAGTCCAGTATCTGCTTTGCTTCAGGAACCACTACATTTAAACTTGGCCACTAAAAGGGAGGGTACCAATATCAGCTTTCTGTATAAGTCATTTGTTTCTCCTGCTCCCTAAAGAGGGGGGGAAATGCATAACATTTCATATTTCCTAAGCTGCCAAGAACTTCTTTTCTTTCTTTTTTTTTTTTACCACTTCCAAAGTGCCACCTTTTTGCTTTTGTGTTTTCTTTTGCCAATGGGTCTTTTTCTCATTGCAGGTCTGCTCCATGAATCACTTCCTGAGATTCTGGTTCCATTCTTCTAAAAAATAAGCCCTGCTGCATGAATCCTAAGAAAGTTCTTTCTCTCCCCTCTCCTATTGTCATCTTTCAAAAATGCTCTTTTGTCCACTGTCAGACAGCATCTTTTTGGTCTGAACACTTCAACATTGTATTTGAACTTACTTATTTCTTCCACTCAGGCACCAGCTCTTTGCATTTGAAAAGAGATTTCTACATTGTACTCTATTCTACCTTTTCCCGTTGCATCCCAGGTATTTCTGTACAAGTAAGAAGACAAAGTGCCTGTATTACCTGAGCATCTAGTGGTGCTTCCGAGCAGCTGTAGTAAGAAGCAGTCTCCACCCGACTGGCCTGGGAGCCTAGAAGACAGGAGTATGGATGAAATAAGCAGGAGCCTGACCTCTGACCCTCACCAGCAATATCACCAAAGGGCATCCAAAGCTATAGTGAAATTAGAGCCAACAGCAAGTCCTTGCCTTACCCTCTTCTCCAGAGGTAAGAGGACATTTATCCAGAGAGTCCAGGCAATTAATTAGAGTTTTTAAAAGCAAAACAAAACAAAGAAACTATTTCTTAAACTCTAATTTGTAAGGCTCTGTTCCTGGAAAAAATTTTCCATGTGTCAAACTGCACTGTTTTCATTAACACCATATTCTTGTTCTCTACCCATACTAATTCCCCAAAGAGTAAATTTACTTCCAATCCCAATTTCAGTTAACTCTACAAATAAATGGAAAAGACTCAACATTGTTCCCATGTGAACAATGGAAAGTAAGAGGGAGAAAAATCTTCATCATGGACTTCATCCCTCCCTAGTGTTGATGAAAACAGCAATGTGGAAGTTATTTAAAGGGAAAAGCAGTAAGTACTATGAGGGAAAAATAGTACAATTATTTATGTTTCTGGGGCAGAAAAAGAGGTCAAGGGGGGAGTCAATCAGAGGAAAATCTTATTAACAGATTAAAAAAAAATGACTCTAGTATGTGTGTGCAAAATCTTCTGAGACAATTTTGTACCAAGGAGTCAATCAGGTATGACAGAAAATATCATCCTGGTCTTCAAATAGCTAACAATGGGGAAACAAAACATCCAGTAAATTATGAACACCTCAATCTACACATGCCACTGAATGTCAAACACAGAAAAGAATCTTGGCATCTGAGAACACAGAAAGTAATACTGCTCAGTACTATCTAAGAAATTTCCCCACAGCCCTATCCAGCCCTGCAGAACTTAGCAAGTCTCACTCTATACTTAAAGCATAAGTGTTACAGACCCCAGGCCTCTATAAACATTTATCTTAAAGGGCAGACAAGAGGAAGAACTACACAATAGATGAAGTAGAGGAAAGTAAGGCAGAAAGACAAATACTTAGTTCCACAAACACAAACTGCTCAGTGGATTCAGGCATCTTTGCCTTTGCCAGCAGTTCCAGTGTCTAGGAGCAGTAAGCTTTCCCTTTTATTCTAACAAGAAGCTGAGATTACACCTCCAATCACAGAATGGTTCTTGTCCCTTGCAAGCAAAACATTAAAGAAAACCTGTCTCTAAGAGGCCACTGAGTGCTCAGCACACAGTCTAATAAAAGGACTGAAAAACGCAAAAGGTCTGTGGGAATGACAACAAAGAGGCAACCTTGAGCGCCCGGTTCTCACATGCCAAACACATTGCAGAAGCTGGAACATTAGCTTCTAGTTCAGCTCAATGAGTATTTCTCAAGACGACGCAGCTTGTGACCCCCAACTGAGCTAACGAGACCAGAGACGGTTCTGGGCAGCTGCCAACATCACGCAGAACGAAGCTCCCCATCGCCGGGAATCAAGAGACTGAACCCCACCGGGGATCTGAATTCGCAGAGAACGAGGGGTACACCCCGACAGGCGCGGGGTGGGGGGGTGAGCCTGGAGGAGAGGAGGGCTACAGTTCCCAGTGAACGACCCCATCCATCCCAGTTCTGGGAGATGAATGGAGTAATCTCGAGTTTAGAGAGTGAGGGTCGACCCCCAAGCAGAAAAGGGCAGAGGCGAGGCCCCGCAAGGAGCGCTTCCTTGTTAGGGGGCCCCCTTCCCGCCCCGCGGACTCGGACACCCCACCCGCAGAGATGCCGCCTTCCCGGCCAGGCTGGAGAGAAACGCGCGGGGGTCTCGGCGCGGCCTCTTTCCCTCCCCACTGTCCGCGGTTCTCGGGCCCCGGCCCGGTGGGGTAAACGGGATCAGGGGGGCTACTTCCTCTGGAGCGTTAAGCTCGGGCCTGAACTTAGCGCGGCCGGACTGACTGCCTTCATTGCCGGCGACACTCACCGGCCCATCTCACGGCACTCCCCGGGCTTCTTTCTCACGTCCCGGAGCCGCCGCAGCCGCGGCCGCCGCCATCCCCGGCCCCGGAGCCGCCCCACACCCAGCGCCTCCCCCCCGCTTCGCCGGGCGCCGGGAGATTGCGTCACGCGCCCCGCCCCCGGCGCGAGGAGATGTCGTCACGAGCCGGCCTCGGGAGCGACGCCGGGGACTACCCTGTGGGGGTGGGGGGACCTCCTGGCCCTCGCCCGCAGCCCTTCCTGCGCTGGATAGACGGTGCCTGGCGCGGACGGACTCGTGTGAATGCCCCATCACCGGTGACTCCGCAATGTCCCTCTTCTTTTACAGTCGAAGGACTCCCAAGCAGCCCTGAGGTGTGGCCACCAGCGAACCCTGTTCTAGACTTTAAAGGGCTTAATTTGTAGGCGCCGCCTCTTGGGAACTTGAGGCTACTCCGAAGCGACTCATGCATTGGAAAATAAGGGAACCGTCCGCCCTCTAGATACCCAGAGTCGGCAAAAGAACTCTTTAAAAAAGTTGAGATTTGAACCTAAGGGAGTCAAGAACATGGACCAATGAAACTAATAGATCTGAAAAAGCCAATCCAACTGAAACTCGTTGCTAATTAAAATGAGCTCGTAGCTAACCCTCTAGTGGGTTTTCAGAGGCTGTAATCCACGCGGAAGGAGATAGTCCATCTGTCTTCCGCGGAGCAGAATTTGAATCACAGGCCCTTGAATTGACAGCGAAACACCTCACCCACTTGGCCTCATAGTTATTTGGCGCTTGTTGAGTCCAGGACAACCGGGCGACCCCATGAATAACAGACCTGAAAGCTGTCAATCCTGTGCCTTCCTTACCATCTCTGAAAAACTTGAGTCCGTTGCTGCAGTCACTGTGTCAATTCATCTCCTTGGGGTGAGTGTGTCTTCCTCTCTTTCACTGACCCTCCACCTTCCCAAGCCTAATATCCCTGTCCAAGAAATAGGTTCTCCTAGCAACATGGCCAAAGTATTGAGTCAGAGCTTCGCTATCCTTGCCTCCCAGGAGCACTCTGGCCACATGTGTGTTGTTGATAAGTGCTGTCAATGCGTAGAGACTCGGAGACCCTAGGAATGAAAGTCCTGAACATTTGTATAACTTTCATCTTTTCTCCAAGTTCACAGGGTTTCTGGAGGCAAGCTATTTTGGAAGTGAAGCCACTCCTACTTCCAAGCTTGTTTTTATCGGGGAGCTCCACCAAACTCTGTCCACCATGGGTAACCATTATAGCATTTGACACATCCGTGTCACAGTGTTCAGCATCACAGCAAACGAGTACAGCAAACCTCTGTACAGCAAATGGACAGACCAGTGCTTTACCACTTAGAAGAATGTTTGACCCAAAACAGTTAAAACCAGTCAGAGAGCTGCATATTAAAATAATCCACCTTTGGCTTGGTAGCATCCCTTTCTGTCCATGAGGCCAAAAAACACTCTGGTCCCATAGGAGATCTAAAAGTTAGTAGAGAACTAGAAGAATGCCTTCATATAGACAGAAGCAGCTTGAGTTAATAGGAAAAAGGCCGAGTGACTATGAAATGTTGGGAGTGATTTCATTGTTATTACTGTTGGGAGGTAACATGAAAGTTGACTAAGGAGGGGGAGAAGAATTTAATTTGTGTTTTAGTTTAACTTTGTGAAAAGAAAATTGTGCATATAAATGAAAACTAAACTGAGGGGGAAATTTTGATTATTGGGGAGGCTGTGTTTTAAGTGGAATTTTTCCTTTCAGATTCTGCAAACTCTATTAAGTAAGTAACAATGTTGTTGTTGTTACATGCCGTCCAGTCGTTTGCGACTCATAGCGACCTTATGCACAACAGCCCTAAACCCTGCTCTATCCTGCACCAACCGCACTGCCTCTGACACACCCATCCCGATTACCCCAGTCACCAAATCAATCCATCTCATAGAGGGTCTTCCCCTCCTGCGCTGTCCCCCCACCCTCCCAAGCATGATGTCCCTCTCCAAGGACGTGTCCCTCCTGGCAACATGTCCAAAGTATGTCAGACGAAGCCCCAGAATCCTTGCCTCCAAGGAGTAGCTTGGTTTAATCCTCTCCAAGATGAATCTGTTTGTTTTCCTGGCAGTCCATGGTACATTCAGTACCCTTCTCCAGCACCACAGCTCAAAAGCATCCACTCTCCTTCTGCCCTCCCTAGTCATTGTCCAACTCTCTGATGCATAACAAGCGATTGCAAAGACCATGACCTGTATCAGGCGCACCTTAGTCTCCATAGAGACACCGTTGCTCCTGAGTACTTTAGAGAGGCCCCTAAGAGCAGACTTTCCCATCACGATACGCTTTTTGATTTCCTGACTGCTGGTGCCAAGAGTGTTGACTGTGGAGCCAAACAAACTGAAGCTGTGAATAATCTCAATCTCTTCGCCATCCATCCTGACACTGCCAGTAGGTCCAGTGGTGAGAATCTTTGTCTTCTTGACATTGAGCCTCAGTCCATACTGAAGGCTGCAGTCCTTGACCCTCCGCAGCAAGTGCATGAGGTCCTCCTCAGCTTCAGCAAGCAGGGTTATGTCATCTGCATAACACAGACTGTTAATAGATCTTCCACCAATCCTGATGCCACAATTCTCCTCATAGAGCCCAGCCTCTTGGATAATCTGCTCTGCATACATGTTGAAAAGGTATGGAGACAGGATGCATCCCTGGCGTACACCCTTCCCAATTTTGAACCATGCAGTGTTACCCTGCTCTGTTCTGACTACTGCCTCTTGGTCCAAGTATAGGTTTCGTATTAGCACAATTAAATGTTCTGGGACTACCATTCTTCTCAGAGTCAGCCACAGTTTGTTATGATCCACACAGTCAAATGCCTTTGCATAATCAATGAAACACAGATAGACATTCTTCTAGTATTCTCTGCATTCAGCTAAGATCCATCTAACATCAGCAACAATATCCCTAGTACCACGACCCCTTCTAAACCCAGCCTGGACTTCCGGCAAGTCTGCTGAAAAGTGCTGGCTGGGCTGGGATCTTTACTGTATTGCTAACTGCTCTTAAGAGAGCCATTCCGTACTTAAGATGTGGTTTTCCACTTTTGCAAAATGAGGACCTTGAATCAAACCAAGGGGTTGGAGTGAGATGTAGCTAGAAGAGCTCTCTAAACATTTGGATGAGTGAAAAAAAAAGAGGGGGTAAAATTGTACATTTTATGTATGATATTTAATAAAAACTTAAAAGCACATAACTGTTGCATATATTTATGTACCATATGGAAAGGAAGTTGAAGGTCACTTAACATCCAGTTAAGGTTGGTTACCTCTGGGGTAGAAAGTGAGATTGAGTGTTGATCATAAAATCAGCATATGCTATTATTGATTTTATACGTTTTAAAAATAGGTTGTATTACTTCTGAAAAATTAAAAAAAATTAGTACGTTAAAACACCAGTGAAGGATATAATTGCTAAGATTCCTTCTAGGGAACCCATGAAATTGAAGTTATTTTTATAAATTCTCACTTGGGATGGGTATAAAGGATATTCAGATTTACCAAACATCCCGCTTTCACCCACTTTGATCCCCACCCTCACCCCACTCTTTTCTCCTCCCTTCAGGCTCCTTAATGGTCACTGTTATGTAGTTATCAAAATCACCAAAGGGTTTTGTTTAGTGAATATTAATATTAGTCCTTACTACAATCTCCTTTTCTCTCAGTTAAATCAAGAAGGAAATCTTGTGGTCACTCAGGGAATACATCTGAGCAATAAATGGCCTTCTGGTTTCTAGTTCATTGCTAAACTCACTGTTAACAGATAAAAGATAAAAAACTCCTGGACTAAATTGCACTCTAGTCAGTTTATCCCAGATAAGATATCTAATCAGAGAATTGGTTTTTGGACAAACTTGAAAGCATAGACAAAGGTGTGTAACAGGAGAAGGGGAAATTATTTTAGCCGACAGTATTAGCAAAATGAGTAGTGAAAAGGCGTGTCTGTTTAAAAAAACCAGATGTTTTGATTGGTGAAACACAGGTAATTTCCTGGTTTGGTGCTCCAGTCCCAGAAAGGTGGGTCATATATTCGCTTTATCTTATTCCAGAATTTTTAAACTCCAAGCAGTCCCCATTTCTTTGGTTCTACATCTTGACAGTAGGAAGCTCTGTTGTTTGACAGAAATGCTAGGGATAAAATTAACAAATACAGTTTTTCGATTTATGAAACTTAAACAAGTCATCTCCTCAAATCAGGAATATTCTCTAATATTTAGATTCAAACTAAAACCTTAATAATATTAAGTAAGTTCAGGGTCTTTTACCCTGTAGCTGATCCAGTACATAATTAGGAAAGAAAGTGTCCCAGATTGGGTTACCTTTGGTGAGGTTACATTCAATAACTACATATTATATCCTGGATATCTCCCAAACTGGGACACTTTCTTTCCTAAATATTTTGTTCCCCTTTCTTATTTCCTCATTTCTGTCCTCTATTTTGCCCCATGTATTTTCAGTCTTTCTCACTGAAAGCCTTTCCTTTCCTTCCACTGAGATTTAAGAAATGACATAAAATGAAAAGAGGGTTTTTTTAAAAGGTATTAGAGTTTGCAAAGTTAAGCTTTAATCTGTTTCTGACTCCTTTTGTTTTTCTCTGTATTCCTGCTGAATTTGTCTAGTGTAGATTGAATTTTTGTGATGGAAAAGCTTGAGTTACACATTGGTAAGGGAAAAAACAAACAAACAAACCCTGCTGGGCTGGTTCTCTTTAAGCAGGGTGTTTCAAACCTGTTCTCCGGCATTGCCCAGTTCCTCATTGGTCTGAGTGATTTGCTAAGCCCATCAAGCAGACTGTGGAACCTCTGACAACCACCTCAACTCTTTTCGAGGTTAAAGAGATAAAACCAGAGAGAAGTGCTGATACTTAGGAACCTGCATGCATCATAAAAGAAGTAAGTGGCTTTTGGTTGGTTGGTGGGTTTTTTTCCAGACACTCACGTCACATGACTCTGCTTGTCTGCTTCAGCGGGTAGCTGGAAGTCAATGGCAGAAACAACTAATTCCAAATAGAAATTGACATTCTGGGGAATACTTTGTGGATTTCACATTTCCTGGAAAAATGTGGGTGCCTGGCGTTGACTTGTTTTCCAAAACTTTTTCTAAAGTGTCCAAATGCAAAAATAGGCAATTCAAAGTTTTATTTACGTCTCTGGGCAATGCTGTGTCCTCATTCTTTCTGTGCCCTTTGATGTTATGTAGCTTCTCCAGATTCCATTGGGGCTTTTTTGTTTAAATGCATTAATATTTTATTTAGAAAGAGTCTTGTAAGTGGCTAATATGGCCTTTGGGGAAGGGGATTCCCCTCCCTGTCGACTTCCTCAGACATTTACCAAAGACTTTCATTTTTGTTAGAAACTTCCCTGCAGAATTCTCAAAAATAGGAATAAAAAACATTGATGATTGAATTAGTTGACTTAAATCTTTTTCTTATTTGAATGCCATGACTCACAGGTAGGGAATGGATCCTCTGAGAGGCAGGTACACTTAGGCCAAGGATTCCCCATTTGGAATTTGTTGAATGAGTAATGTAGGTGTGCAAAGATTGAATTCCCCTTCTTTCCCTGCAACGGTGATAACTCGTTCTCTGGGAAATTTATTCAGCAAAGTGATTTGCAAGTTGTTCCTTTTCTTTTTAATAGCAGTCGTTCTTGGAATTGGCTTGTGGCAACATGTTCAGCACTGGCTTCAAAGCAGATCGCCTTCGGGTCAACTTGCAATTGGTTGCCAGCCGCCTAAAACTCCTGGAAAAAAAGAAAAGTGAGTAAATACTGTAAGCACTACAGCAAGCAGCCTCTCCGATCACTGAGCAGTGCAATTTCTGAGACAATATATCTCCTATTTCTGGCTCATGGAAATATAGCAAATGGCCTTAGACCCCTTGAATGGGGGTAGCAGCTGACAAGTGTTATCTTCTCTCTTTAAGTCCAAGTTCTTTTCTGTTGTATTTTGCTCTTTGCTCATACCAGTGGCCACATGGACTGATAAACTAATGGTCTCTGATTATGAGACGCTGACCTTTCAGCAGGTTTTCAGAGGCTGTAAATTGCCCAGGAGAAGATTGCTCATCTTCCACCTGCTGGAGGATTCGAACCACATGTTTGGAGTTGGGAGCACAACTCCTTACTACTAGGCCACAAGAGCTCCTTTATTTGTAAAATAAGGACAATAATCTTATCTATCATTCCAGAGTTCTGTTTGTAATATAGACTATGCTGTGGTGCACAAAAAATGTTCGCTAATGTTAGTATTGGCGTAATAGCAATTCAGCATTAATTTGAAGCAAGTCTAGTGCTACTACTGTGATTTTCTCCCCCCCCCACTGAGATGTCTAGAACAATGAAAATTTTCCCACTTTGAATTTGGCAAAAGTTTCCTTCCAGGCACAGAGCTCTGTTTATCTTAGATTCAAATGCCATCTTTATTCTGAGTACATGTTTATAGACAATATTCATTTTTCATACAATCACTCATCTACATTTTGTTTTATAACATTGCTGTTAATTAATGTAGTTAATTGCAGTGCCTAAACAAGCTCTTATTTTTTTTTAATTTTTATTTTATTATTTTTGTGTGAGTGTACTGTCAAATCAGATCTGACTGGTACAGAAGGAGATTGTCCCTCCTTCCCTGGCAGAGCATCTGGTGGATTCGAACCGTCCACCTCTGGGATTGTAGTTGCAGCTCCTTACCACTAGGCCACCAGAGCTCCCCTAAACAAGCTCTTATTGTCTTTCCTTTCACTCCATCTATTTTTTTAAATGTTTTAATTTTATTATTTGTGTGTGTGTGTGTGTACCGTCAAGTCAGATCTGACTGGTACACAAGGAGATTGCCCCTCTTTCTCCAGAAGAGCATCTGGTGGATTTGAACCACACGCCTCTGAGATTGCAGTTCAGCTTCTTGTATACATGACCTTTTTTTTTCTATAATTATATTTTATTAATTTTCATAAAC